CCCCCATCCTGCTGGTCCACTCGCCTGCCGGCTAACCGCAGAGATTCAAGCTGTAGGGTCCCTGCCTCACCTTTGTGGCCTGTCCTGTGTGCGTTAAAGTGCTTACAGTGCAAGTAGTGGTGCTTGCCGGCCTACTGCATTGCGAGCACTTTTTTCCCACGCAAGACTCCCCCTGCCAGCATCGTCTGCCCCCCCCAGGATACACACTGACATAAACGAGGCCTCTGGGTGTCCAAAGTGCTGTTTTTGCAGGTAGCTCATTCTCCAACCCTACTGCAAAAACAGCACTTCACGACACGTGGACTGCGCTTCGCTTCGCTTCACTGACTTGCCTGTGTACACTTTTGCTTTCCTCACTTCTCATTTGTACCTTGACAACTCAGATTCATGTAATGCCTTGTGCAGATTGCATACGGGACTTGCTTGGAAATTTCCAAGAACTACATTGGCGACCACAAGGGGGCACTGTGCCCTACCTGAAGAAGGACCCTTCAGACCAACACTGGATCTTTCAGTCCATTGTTACTGCTGTTACATGGATGTAGGCCATGTTTCCCCTCAGGCTGCTGCATGGCTTTTACTGTCCAGTCTTCCTGTGGTGGTACCCCTGGCCAGTGACCTTTGGCTGGTCCCAGTCAGCTTTGCAGGGTAGGCAGTCAGCTTGTGCATGCCAGGACCGCTGTGCAAACCCATGCAAAACTGACCGTGGCTGTAGCTAATAGTCTTCAGTGTAGGTCCTCTAACTGGTCAGGGCTGCCTTGGAAGGAAATGGCCTTTTTCAAAATATCCAAGAGATAAGTTTGCTTGTAAACAAAGTGGATTTGAAGGTCTGAGTTCAAGCCAGCGACATGTTTGACCTCAGCCTAAGGAAGAGACTAGCTGGTGTTGAGAGGCGGAGACTCGGGCAATTGCCAACAGTCCCAGAGGGCATTGCACTTGTCTCGGTCTGACAGTGCCGGCACAGCGCGACTGCTGAGGTGTGCAGGCTCATCATCCTTTAGATGTCGTGATCTGCCCATGAGCCTTAATCTACACGCAGCCTCTGTTTTGAGCCTGTATGTACTGTGCCTCAATCAAGGCCCGCCTGCGGCTTGTGGACACAGTGGAGAAGGAGGATGTGAACGAGGCCATGCGGCTCATGGAGATGTCCAAGGACTCACTTCAGGCAGAGAAGTCCAATGCTACAAGGTTAGCATGTGTGTCTTAAGTAAACTGTGTCATTTGTGGAATTCATGCCTTTGCTGACCCGTTTGAAGCCTATGTCGTGTTCTTCCCCTAGAAACCAGCGGCCTGCAGATGTCATCTTCTCCCTCGTGCGTGAGTTGGCAAGCGAGGCCGGGCGGGGGCGAGCCGGGGCGGGCGGGGTGGTGCGGCTGGCCGACGCCGAGCAGCGATGCGTGTCCCGTGGCTTCACCCCCGCCCAGTTCCAGGCGGCGCTCGATGAGTATGAGGAGCTTAACGTGTGGCAGGTCAATCAGGCCCGCACCAGGATCACATTTGTCTAGGGACCAGGGTTGGGTCCTCATTAGGAGGATGCAAATAAGTGTCACCTGGGGGTTCTGAGGGACTGTTAGTGTGTCGCTGTCTTCATGTGTAAAAAGTTAAAAAAAAAAAAAAGTTCATGTGTGCAGTACTGTGCCTTTTTCCACATATTCAGTGATTTTGATTGAGACAGTGATGGCTTAATTTAAAACTTGCATTCCCTGGCTGTTAAACGTAATAAACCCTTGCATTTTTTGGAGAGGAAAGTATGCAGTGGAGTTTTAGACCTGTATAAAGGGGCATGTGGTGGTTAGTTGGTGGGAGTTGTTGATGGGGAAAAGGCATTTGGGGAAACTTGTGTATGTGTGAAACCGTCCTCTATGCTGCTTCTGTAGTTTTGCAAATTTTTAAAAATAAATACCTATTATTTTTGCTTGTATTCCATCTTTTGATTGCAGTCACTGATAGGTATTACACATTGAGATTACAAATGAGTGTCCTCTTTCAGGCACACCCTTTCCAAACAACAGGAAAGGGGCAGATCTGATTAATTTCTGTTCTGACTCGGGGGCGTCAAGCAATATTTTACCCGAGTTTCAGTCACTCTAAGTAGTCTTTATTAGCATGATGAATAATGTAAACCAGATGGTCCTTCATGGCCTTGCACTTTATTATTTTTTTTTCCCCACCGCCAGCATAATTGCCACCTAAAGAGCTTCGGGTTTATTCTGTGTAGCTCCAGGTGTGTAACATTGCAGAGATTCCTATATCTTTTGCTAACACCTGGTGGTGAGCATAAGACACCCCGTCCTCGTTACGCTGGCAGACTTTCGACAGCCAGTCCCCTTCCTACCAGATACCACGTCCTTCCTGTTCGAGGCCTAGACCCACTCAGGAAAGAGCAGTGCAGTTGGAGTCCTGTTCCGGTTGGTTGGCACAGGTCCATATACACTTGCCTTTTTCTGGATCTGAACTAGAGGGATTCTGTCACTGATATGTCAGAACAGGTGAGTGGGTGTGGACACCACCCTGGAGCTGTTAGAGGGCTGCCCATTTTGTTTTTGTTCCAAACTGAACAAATTGAAGAAAACAATTTTATTAGAACTCTAACGGACGCATGTTTATTTGGAAATTATCATAATTACACCTCCGGTTATTGTAGAAATCACAGGGATGTAAAGCTTTGCTATTATGAAATGAACACCTTATATGGATTTTAAAGGGTGTGTACGAATGACGAAAATCGTTTAAAATTACTTATCAATACACTTAAGGAAGCTTTTGCAAGCTTGAGGTGTTGAACGTCTATATTAAATGACCTTAAAAAAATGTACCTCAACGCTGACCGGGATAACCACTTGCAGAGATCCCCAGTTCCGGTCCTGGGCGGCCATAAACCAACACAGTTTGCAGATTTCATAGTTCAAACACACCTACTAAGCCTAATAATTAGCTAATTAAGATCTGTTTGAACAGGGAAATCTGCAGAATGTGTTGGATTCTGGCCCACCAGAAACACTGGTTTTTGTACCTGACCACCTGGGGTACTTTTTTGGTACTTGGGTACTTTCGGGTGGAACTTGAAACGATTTTTTCAATTGTTTATGAAAATCGCCAACATCTAAAACACAATACAATCGCCGCCTTGAAAAATGCTGTGGAAATTCCAGTCCGCGTCTTGAAAAAAGTTTCCTTAGACAATAACGATAAACGAAATAGAATTTATGTATATAAGTAATAATGTATGCATGGACAAATGAAAGACCCAAGCTTAAACTGCGATCTGGTAGGAAGAACATACAAGAAGATCGGGATGGTATGACAAGGAAACGTCTAGCAGTGATTTAAACTGCAAGAATGAAAATGATTTACGATTGCCTCGGAGAACCCATGCAGCGATCAGGAAAAATAAGCGAATGTAAACGTTAAAGTAATTTTTAAACATGTACTAGATAATATCGAATAGGTATAATAATAAAAGGTTTTTTTTCCTATGACAGTGAGTTACATTTTTAGCGAAACAAACTCTGTGGAATAAGCCTGATCTTAATCTAACTGACTAGCCATGTAAGAATTGCATGTGCATAACGTGCGATGTCGGTATTAATATCGCACATTGTCCATCCCCTTAATATACTACAGGCTATTCTCTAATTGAAAACCACCCTCTTGAAGTAGGAGTACTTTCTTGAACTACCCAAAGTATCGTACTTGGTGCTGTGGAAAAGCGCTCTTATTACAAGATGGATGGGCGCAACACTACTCGCTCCTCTTTCCACACTTGCAAAAAGTCTCTATACATTTATCTTTAAGCCATTTTCATACACTAAAAATCTGTGCTTATGGCCTTTTGTAATAATAAATAGTGGAAAGCTTACTCAGTTACTGCCTTGGATGGAGGGCATCTTTGTTCCATTTCAAAATTGTATAAATCGTCTCCGCTTGTTTTACTTGCAGGTAAATCGAGGACCCGTAACAAAATGGTCGATAGTGCACTACGCTTGCTGCATGGTGCATACTTGAAGCAGTGTTACTGTCTGTCCCTTTATTTGCTACATATATTCTTAAGCCTTCACACTCGAACGCAAGTTTACATCGCTGCAGTAGTTATATGTAGTCCACCCAAACAATAATGGTTTACTGACAACATTGCGCTCCTACAAAACACAACTTTAACATCTTTCCCACCTTTAAGAATGTAAGATAATGACTTTGATGCTGATTTTGGTGACTATTGGTATACGGACTCGGCCACGTCACTGTTTCTGGGTAATTATGATGAGAAATCCATTTAAATACAGGTGAAATACAGTCATACGTAAATCAATACCTAATGTCAAAAAATGTTATGCCTGAACACATGATGTAACGTATGCATGTTAAGTCTGAGCTTGCTTTGGCCTTTATCATATCTTTGCTTTACAACATGCTTGTAAAAAAACTGAAAACAGATGTGTCTTTCGATAAATGCATTTGGCTCTGAAATTATGAGTTGGCAGAGTGGAAAGGTTGTTATTACCGTACTATTAAAACACCTAGGCGCACATTCCAGTCAGCACTTTAAAGAAAACATCCAACGAACCAGTTACTGTTTAGCAGTTACCGAATTGAAGAGCTTACGTTGTATTTATAATATATGGAAAATTTGTTTATTTGACGTTGATAGTGACAGTGAGTTGCAGTAAACAGACTCGCATGACATATCGTATAAAAACGTTAATTATACAATTCAAAGTTTATGTATGATAAAGGCGAGGGCTTGTGAACTGGGAGGAGCATGTTTTAAGCGTATGGGCACCATTTCCTTGGTAAAGTGCTACGCTGTCTCTCTTCTCTGCGGGTCTTCCCCTCCTAAGATTTAACTGCACCCGTTTGCTTTTTGAAGTTAAGATTTTATTATTTTTTTCTCCCCACAGGCATCCTAAAGTTTGCCTTAATTGGCACCAGTAGCCCGGCGATTGAATTTCACGATGTCTTGACAAAATCGTGGTGGGTGGATTTTTTTTCTTTTTTTTTTTGAAGGGGGAGGGTGAGTCGGTGAGATGACCAATGACAGATCAACCTCGCATTGATTGACAACAGGATTCGTATTTAAATTACCTGTCCCATTCATCTGACAGTGGATGTAGCGCCGTGATCAAGGGTAAGTAAGGGCTGTCTTACATTTGCGATAAATTTATGAATTTATTCCTTTTTTGTATGTATAATGAGTCCCATTTCAGTTTCGGTAGTTTGAAAATACAAGTTATATATCATTACATGATTATTAAGTTAATAAATATATCTAAGATACTATTTGGATAACATGTTTTGTTATGCATCATAATATTAATTCTGTATTTAAAGTAATGTTTACTGCCTGTCACCAGATTTATGATATCTTTTTTAAATATGATGCACTGCTGTTACTCAAGTCATAATATGTATTCTGAAGGAAGAGAGAGAAACATGTCTGTAGATAGCTTTGGTAAACAGATGTTAGGAATAAAGGAGACAAAATTGATCTAACCTCGTATTTGGTCTCTTTGCATAATGATTGCCCAGGGAATGAATGGCAGTCTAAGAAACAATCTGTTAATTTAGCCTTCTGCCACATATGCACAAGGAAAATATGGGTTGCAGGGCCCAGAAGTGCATTAAAAAAAACAGGACTTTGGAATATCTAGAATAAAATATTCTGCATTCCTTCATTATCATACAAAAAACTACCCTACATCTGCTGAAAACCCAGGGATGAAATGAACAGGATATGTGCTGCCTTGTAGATTGTTACATTATGTAGCAGAGAATCTATATGCCCACAGGCACTCTGATAAAACATTCTGCTGTGTCTTAACTGGATCCAATGGGCATTTTCCAGGTGGAGATGATTACGTCTCCAGCAATGCTGATTGGGAGCCTGTGCTCGCTTGTGCTGCTCCCAGGTCAGTCTTAATCCTAGCCATCTCATCCCCGCCTCCCTGATCTGCATGCTTTGGGTCCTTGTGTTTAACTTAAAGGCAGAGTAGGTACTGATGATAGTGTGAGACATGGTGTTAATTCATGTTTTTGTCTCTCAGGACTTGCTTGCTCAGTGTATGGGTGGGGATAAACTGAGGCAGACTGACAACATAAAGCGAGCTGGGAATTTGATCCCTGATCAGATACTTTGGTGGGGAAGGGGTTGGGGTCCCCATTGGTTTACTTTGGTGGGGAAGGGGTTGGGGTCCCCATTGGTTTACTTTGGTGGGGAAGGGGTTNGGGGAAGGGGTTGGGGTCCCCATTGGTTTACTTTGGTGGGGAAGGGGTTGGGGTCCCCATTGGTTTACTTTGGTGGGGAAGGGGTTGGGGTCCCCTTTGTTATATTGTGCCACTGACCGGGGCGGCGGTCCCCTTTGGTATACTTTGGCGATTGATGATATAATCTATATAATGCCAGCTTTGGGGAAGAAAGACCGACCCTCACAAGATCAGCCCACTGGGAAAATGACCAAACTTTATGATGGCCAGTCCATGCCTGGTGTAAAATATTATAATGGTTAGAACAGGACAAGAGTAAGCATCATTATCACCATACTCTTCATAATCATAAATATGAAATAAAGCCACAGAATTATATAAATAAAGAGTTATCTCACTCAGGCTTTCTGGAAGCCACCTCGCTGATGAAGCTCATAAGACAGCAAGGTAAGCGATTTCTCTTCTTCACCTATAATTGACAGGCCCTGCCTTGGCGACATGCTTCCTGTGCACTTCCCACCAGAGATTCATAAATGCCCTGTAATGGTGGATTATAATGAGGGATGCACTTAATTGATACACAAGTACGCATTGGCCGTATAAAGCAATATTCTTGGTACTTTCTGGTTGTAGCTGCGCAAATGTATTCTTATATGTAGTTGCACTGTTATGCCAAGAAATTACCATGCATATAAACATTTATACATTTACCCTGCAAAAGAAGTATGCTTTAGCCGTATAAAGGTTGAAATGCACAATACTTTCTTGCCATTTTAGCACAAATGCACATAAAATAAGTATGCATTTATGCTGCTATGACAAGAAATTGCCATACATATCACTTTATACGGCAAATTCATACTTGTGCACCAGATATGTGCATCCCTGGTGATAATTGACTTACCTGGTTGGCACCCATTTCCATGGGTTTGAGTCAGGGCTGAATATTGCAGGTTCAAATAGATTTGATTGGTTTCTTGGAGCAGCACACTCTTTGAGCTTACTTAAATTAAATGTACACTTGACAGAAAGCTTACACATCGTAGCATGCCACAATGCATTGTAATTGTATGGAATCCATGCTTTTGAAGGAGTGTAAAATAGCTGGTGTGTAATCTGTTTTCCTCCCCTCCAGTCAGCATGTTATTTCTGCTTCCTTACCCCTTGAAACATCCCATTGCCCCCCATCCCTTCCCAAAATTCAGCAGAACCAGCAGGGGTGAGCGCTGTGAGTATCAGCTCAGACGAGGCTCATGATTTCCTATCTCACTCGCGGCCCAAGCGCAACATTGACCCCAAGTGGTACCACAACAGTCCTGACTTCCAAGCCTACTACCGCTACTACAACAGCATCGGACACACAGAGGGGGTAAGAGTGCGGGACGTGTGATAGTGAATGAGAGAGGTTGAGGGACTCAGTAAATTAAAGATGAAGAGATGCAACAGTAAGATCATTACTTCCTGCACTCTCTATCCAAGAAGCACTATTCATATCTCTTACTGTTTCTTGACTCCTACCCCCACCCCCCAAAAAACAATTCTCCCAGCTGTATGAAATCGACCGGATCAGGATGTTGTACCAGCAGATGCGACAACTCGAGCATGTCTACGGGCCCAATGCCTCCTTCTACCAGAGCATGATGGGCCTGCGCATACCAAAGTGTGACCCATCAAAGGATAAGAAATGCAAAGTCATACACCAAGTGGCCATGGCGGCCCCCCCACCCCCACCTCTCTCCCAGGCTGACGTTGTCCATCTCTGCAACTCCAAAGACCCCCTGTGCAAGCCCCACATAGTCTACCTGCCCAGTGGGGCTATCCCTGTGCTCTGTGACCCCCGCTACAATGCTGCCTGTCGCCCCAACAAGGACGAGGCCCCGGCATCTCCTGCTCCTCCCCCTCCCCTCAAAAAATCCCCCCCGCCTCCACCTCCTAAAAAATTCCCCCCACCTCCTCCGCCTGCTCCAGTCCGGGCCTATAAAGGGATGGAGTATGATTGTGATCCCTACTGGGACCCTGACTGCCTGATTGACCACCCACCCAGGGCATTCAAAGGGAAGCCCGGACCACCCCCACCCACTGATGATGAGGAAGATGAAGAGGAGGAAGCTGAGGAAGAGCCGGACCAGCCTGCACCAGGGCCCCAAAAGAAGGCTCCTTATCCCTATTACTATCAGCATGAGCTGTTTGATCCCTACCGGTATTCCAACCCTGCCTCTGGCGGCCAATAGGCTCTGGCCTTTAGGGATGGGATCTGGAATAAACCTCTGGGATTTCATGATTTTTAAGGACAGTCCCAGGCTGACATGCACATTGATTCCAGATTGCCCCCCCCCCCCCAAATGCACCTCCACACCCACACACATAATCCTTCAAAAATACTTTAATTTTATTATTTTTTTGTTTGTTTTTTTATATATATTTTGTGGAAATGTGTTGCTTATGGAATGGAAAATTATAACAAATTTACTCCTGAAAGTCCACCCCCATATCTGTGTCCTTCTTATAAGGTTACTTAATCAGTATTTAGAATAATCACCAAATTATAGTGTAAGGAATCAAATTACCCAGTATTATGGTGATGATGTTGATGATGAATAAACATGTTTTCCATGTTTGTTTCCTGGTCATTTCGCGGGCTATTGTGTTGGGAAGAGTTTGGGAATGAGGAACAGAAACAAGAGCAATGATGGTGAGGAGGGCAGGAAAGCAAGGTGAGGGAAAGTGGAGAGAGGAGAGGCACACAAGACTGGAGATCATTACAGCAAATTCCCCTTAAAGTCAGCACCCCTACCATGCTCCTAACTACCTCTTTTCTTCTTCCTGTCCACCCCCATCAGGGAGAGACCGTAACTGCTGTGTCAGATGTTCCACTGTATGAGAACATGTAAGGTAAAATGATACCAACACAGCGTCTCAGGCAAGTAATGGGCCTTTGTTTGGTGCTGACACTAAATACAAAAGGTAATAAAAGCTATTTAAAAAAAACAGGAAGTCCCAAATTAAATACCTTTGTTTGATGGGTACACCTTCCTTGGAGGCTTATGGCTGCTCTACTTGTGGGTCTTCTGAGTCCCAACCCACAGAGCTGCCCCCCCCCCCAATAAATTCCATCCATCCCTTTTCTGTAACCGTTTATACGTTTATCGCAGGGGGTCTGGAGCCTATCCCAGAGGCTACGGCCGAAAGGCAGGGACAAACCGAGGATGGAGTGCCAACCCATCGCAGGGCATCGCATTCACTCACACACCATAGACTCATACACCTATGGGTAACTCCAGATAATCTCAGCATGTTTTTGGAGTGTGGGGGAACCCCACAATGACATAGGGAGAACATGCAAACTCCACACACGGAACCCTAGTCCAAGTCATGTGAAATAAATACTTTTTTGGTCAGCGCACAGTTCCATATATGTTACTTTATAGTTTTGATATCTTCATAATTATTTAAAATAGTACAAATAAACCTTTCTTTTGTGTCCAAACATTTGACTGGTACTGTCAAACAAGCAGCATACTGCTATTTTACTGAAATAATGAACCATCATAAAGTGATGAGAATGCATGGATCTGTAAGAGCACTGGGAATTATTATGGTCTGTCTGCCCATCCCTTTCTGGCCTCAAAAGCTCCCTGTCCCCTGAGTGATTCCCAGCCAGTCATAGAGCATATTGAATAACTAGTTGATGCTGTTGTAGCCCAGAGAGGCAGTGAACCTGGCATTATTTTATTGATGAATTTGGATGGCTGGAGGGCAGTAACAAGGTAACAAGTTATTTTTAGAGCATAAGTAACAAAAAGTGGGGTCACTCATATCTTAGCATGCTGAGGTCTGGAGTTTGGGATAAAGGGCAATTTGCCTGACAGAGAGACAGACCCAAGGTTGACACCATAGGCATGACGCATTCCCTTGGAAGATGAGATAAACACGAAGAATAAACAAAAACATCTTAGAAACCAATGTATAGCTAAAAAAAGGGAATGTGAAGAATCACTTTTTACATAGATTACTGGAACTAATTTATGATTTGGTTTTCATTGTATTAATTCATGTACGTGATTGTAATGCTCCAGTAGGATGGAAAGCAGCTGTGTGATATACTGTGTCAGCTATTCAGTTACTATATTCATCTCTTACAATTTGATCAGTTGTTTTGATTCATTTACTGTAGTAATCTGTTATGTGCTATATTATTTGTTTTTCCTTTGTATTGCATACTTCCTTCAAACACAATCCAGAAAGCACAGTTGTGCAGCGTATGGTTGTGTATGTGATAAATAAAACTTGAAAAATAAAACCTGAAAAACTTGAAACTTGAAAGTAATCCCAAATGTTTAGTGATTACACCTGTAATTTTATGTCACATGCAGTGTTATACTGACAGGGGGGTCATTAGCGAGGACAAATTTTCATGCTTTCCCCTTCCTTACCCACCTTCTCATTCTTGCATTATTGTTGACTGCTGACATAATCCAGAATGACCTGGGCTATGTATTAAGCTATGTATTGAGCAACTTCACATAAATGGTAAGGTTTTGGAACAGATGGGCTCAAATGTTATGGTGGTAAGCTCCAGGGATAACTAATGAAGTTCTCTGCAGAAAGTGTCCTCATCATGTGAGCCACATCCTACTGTGGTCTCTTTTTGTGATGATACATTATATGCTCACCAATAACAACTCATCATTCATTCACTCATCAATCTAGAAATCTAGGTCAGTAAGTAACACCAATCCCCCGTGGAGTACACAGAAACTCATGTAACACTCCACGCACAGTTGGGGTGACCAAATGCTGTATTAATATCAAAAGTAAATAAATTCACTAGTGCATTTCACTTTTTCACCATCATGAGTGCATACCTTCAGTCAAGGCAACTGTTTCTCGTTTCATTATACTTACATAAAACAGTGATGAGATTGATAGAAAATCGCCAAAAAAAGGCCATGAGATAGGATTCCTACATTTACAGAACGACCACCAGATGGCAGCCATATCCCTTCAATACAGACCCAGAACTCGGCCACCCTGAGAACAGGAGATGTGTGCGGCACTGTTCTGCTTGTCACGGTTAATACATGGGAAGTGCATTAAGGAGCTCCTAAACACACTAATATGCCGAATGGGGCCTCCATGTGTGCATCTGTGCTTCTGTATTCATTTTTAGAGTCCAATATATATGCGAGTTAATGTGCTGTTGTATATTTTCAGCATGTCTTTGGGGTGCGAATGGGTAGTGCAAAAGGAGGAGAAGCTGTTGCTTCTCTCTGCTATTACTGTTTTCTGAGAGTCATTATGATCAGGATCAAGAATCTTTATTGTCATTGTATAGACCAATGAAAGAGAGATGCGTCTCCCAGAGTAGCCCAAATACCAATATAAAATTAAATGGGGGGGGGGGGAAGCAGTATAAATACTGTGTGTGTGTCTATACACAGACACACTATATGGACAATAGTATTGGGACACCTGGCCATTACACCTACAGGAACTTTAATGACATCAATAAGCTGGTCCCCCCAAAGCAACTATACCAGCTGTCACTCTCCTGGGAGGGCTTTCCACAAGATTTTGGAGTGTTTCTGTGGAAATCTTTGCCCATTCATCCAGAAGAACATTTGTGAAGTCAGGCACTGATGTTAGACGTGAAGGCCTCGCTTGCAATGTTCGTTCTAGTTAACCCCAAAAGCATTCAATAGGGTTGAGGTCAGGGCTCTGTGTGGGCCAGTCAAGTTCTTACACACCAAAGTCTCCCAACCATGTCTTTATGGACCTTGCTTTGTGCACTTGGGCACAGTCATGCTGGAACAGAAAAGGGCCTTCCACAAACTGTTCCCACAAAGTTTGAAACATTGAGTTGTCCAAATGTCTTGGTATGAATTATTGAGTTTCCTTCACTGGGAAGCTCTTGGCTTAGCCGAACCCCTGAAAAACACACAAAATTTCACAGTTGGTGCAATGCAGTCAGGCAGGTAACATTCTCCTGGCATCTGCCCATCCCAGACTCATCTATCAGACTGCCTGGCAGAGAAGTGTGATTTGTTACTCCACAGAACACATTATATACTACATTGCCAAAAGTATTGGGACACCTGCCTTAACACACACATGAACTTTAATAACATCCCATTCTTAATATATAGGCTTTAATATGGAGTTGGCCCACCCTTTGCAGCTATATCAGTTTCAGCACTTCTGGGAAGGCTGTCCACAAGGTTTAGGAGTTTAGAAGTGTGTTTATGGGGTATTTTTGACCATTCATCCAGGAGAGCATTTGTGAGGTCAGGCACTGACGTTGGACGAGAAGGCCTGGCTCGCAGTCTATGCTCTAATTCATCCCAAAGGTGTTCTATCAGGTTGAGGTCAGGGCTCTGTGCAGGCCAGTCAAGTTCCTCTATACCATGCCCATGTCCCTGTGGACCTTGCTTTGTGCACTGGTGCGCAGTCATGTTGGAACAGGAAGAGGCCACCCCCAAACTGTTCCCACAAAGTTGGGAGCATGAAATTGTCCAAAATGGCTTTGAATGTAGCAGCATTTAGGGTTCGTTTCACTGGAACTAAGGGGCCAAGCCCAACCCCTGAAAAACAACCCCACATCATAATCCCCCCTCCACCAAACTTTACACTTGGCACAATGTAGTCAGGCAAGTACCGTTCTCCTGGCAACCGCCAAACCCAGAAACATCAGATGCAGCTGCTCAGCCATGTAAACCCATTCCATGAAGTTCTCTACACGCTGTTCTTGAGCTAATCTGAAGGCCACATGAAGTTTGGAGGTCTGTAGCTATTGACTCTGCAGACAGTTGGTGACTTCTGCACACTGTGTGCCTCAGCATGCGCTGTCCCCGCTCTCTGATTTTACATGGCCCTACCACTTCACAACTCATCAACTCATTTGCTGTTCTTCCCAATTGCTTCTTTTCACTTTGTTATAGTACCATACCACTAACAGTAGCCCGTGGAATATTTAGCAGCAAGGAAATTTCACGATTGGACTTCAAGCACAGGTGGGATCCTATCATGGTATCGTGCTTGAATTCATTGAGCTCCTGAGCATTGACCATTCAGGAAAAGGTAAAACTCCTGGATATGCTTCGGGAAGGAAAGCGTTATACGGATGTCGCTCGCCATTATGGCTTTAATGAATCGATCATACGATACATCAAGAAGGATGAAAAGAATATAAGAGCCACCGCATCACTTTCCTTTAGTCAAACAGGAAAGAGGGTGGCATGACCTCAGAATGTTACTCATATCCTTAGCCCGACATCCACATATCATATGTGTTATTTTAATATGTTTACATGTGTTTTAAGGCTTAAACTATAAAAAATATTTATTTATATGGTCTTTCGATATCGCGGATTTTCACCTATCGCTGATGGGTCTGGAACGCATCTTCCGCAATAGGTTTGTCAGCTCTGTCTTCAGAGTGACCATTGCAGTACCAACTGGCTCTCTTTGATCATGTAATCATTGTAGCATGGAATAGGTGTATTTCCAGCGGGTTTCCATTTCCTGAATCAATGTAAGAGTGGGATGCCTATCTGCTCCTGAATTTGGCAAATCAGTTGTACTTATTCTGAAGTCATTCACGATCTGTCTTGCCTTGGATCTGATATAGTTAAGTCCTTATGTCTGATCAATGACCTTCTTCACAACCAAATTTAGTGCGTAAGCATTGCAGATTGCGCACCTGACTTTTAAATTGCTGACACAGGCGATCATATTTGGTGCAGCGTCAGTAACAAGGCAACAGACCTTATTTTGATTTCCCACTCCTCCATTTTCTACAGAATGAGACTCTGGGAATTTTCCTACTCCCCATAATACTGTAAACAACTGTCATTCTTTACAAAATGGCATGTGACTACTAAATAAGCGTCCATATGAACAGATGTCCACATGTTAGATGTTAGACTTACTGCTTTGGCCTTTTTCACCTCTTCCTTTGCTTTCACTTTTTTAATCTTAAATTTTTCTACCACCGTACCCTTTAATGATTGGACTGGATAGGAGAATGTAGGTTGGATGGAAGATACTCGCAAGCACTCTAACTCCAGCATCATCCACAGTACTGATGGGTTGTGAATCCTTCAGAATCATGTTGACCAAAGTCTCATCAATCATTTCTTTCTTCATCTTTGTAATGGGAACTGAAAATATACAAAGTAACGTAATACAGGTTTATTGAGTAATACCCTCACCCAAGTCTGATTTTATATATTCATACAATTAAACTGTTTCTTGAACACAATAAAGACTATTATTGTTATTATTATTATTATTATTATTATTATTATTATTTTTTAGTAGTAAGTTATTAGTATATCTGTAATATAGATGTACTATACCTGTGTTTCTTGTGGACTGACTTATGGATGGAACATTTAGGGCATTCTAATGCTTAGCACAGAAAAGTCTCAACAATGGTGAGGTGTTCTTACTATAACTGCTGAGAGCACCCCAAACATTCCAGCTGGACCAGGGCGATCCAACAATATCAGCATTAATACTTTTACACACACACACACACACACACACGTACTGTATATATAAATATTGCCACATATTTGTTGATACGAAAGTGTTGCCAAACACTCATTTGTTGTCAAACTTCAGAATGACCTCTTTTGCTTTCTGGTTCCACATCTAACTTACAGTGCAGTGTGTGTGCTCCGACGTATACAACACCTTCAAAACAGGCAATGAGGTTTGGCGTCACTTTCCAGAACAGTCACGAGGTTAAGTGCAGAATGAAGCTTCAGATGGCCTTGGCCACGTGTTTAATGTGGACCGGAGGAAGCGCCAAAGCTGTGCTTCAGAATACACTGTATTGTTTCTTTCGGCACATGCCTCAGAGCTGCGATGTCATGCTTAACATCACTACCCCTCACTGCTCAGCTTCTTTCTGGTTTGTTTGCCCCAAGTCCTGCTTCTGTGTCCATCGTCCCACATTACATGATACGCGAACTGGTGCCATATTGTGGTTTCATAAATGTGGAGTCCTACTGAAGAGTCTCAAACCTTTGTTTACCCTGTCATATCCTTGTTCACCCTATTGTCTTCATGTTTTATTAAAATGAGTGGTAACACTGTCCTTGAAGGGGCACAAGTTACATTAGTAACTCAGTTACTACTCAAGTTCAAATCATAAACAAATATAGTAACTGCATGAAAAACATGTACTGTTATGACCGATTAATGATGTACAATCATTGGATCAGTATGTAACTAACACTTATTTACTGGTTAATTAATACATTAGGTAAGAGTGTATTACTACATTATTTGTGCCTTAATTACCAAATCAATTTTACCTAATGAAACATAATACATTTTTTATAAGCAGCAGCAGTAGAAATAATATAATTTACATTATTATTTATTTTTTGTTAATTTTTGCAGTTGCTGAATGTCACAAATTAACATCCAGTTAACAGAGAGGCTGCTGTGGTCAAACTGTAGTTGAGTTAAAGTAGATAACGGATACTGAATTAGGGATTACTCCAGAACAACTGTTGTCCAACATGGTTTCTTACCCATGTTTCTGTAACCATTTCCAGCTCAAATGCATCAGATTAAAAATGATAAACAGGTAAAATGTCTGAGTGTAGGAAGGGTCAGCACCTTTCCTTATTTGATTAAAAAGCAAGTGAACAACATTATTTTTGTTATTTTGCCATTTGATGTTTCTGTTGCTCTCCTGTAATAAATGATCATTCACTGTCTAATTTCAACACCTGCCTGTAGCTAGGCAACATGCATATGAAATGAAAAATACTCATATAAAAATGTTCATTACTGACGCCAAGTTAACTCACTTTTGTCCTCCCTCACACTATGGACTGGATCCTATTTGTAGTCTTTAATTCTCTGAATCATAATTTACTGTTTGAGAAACTCATTACTCTCAATATTCAGTGATCTCTCTGTTACTGGTTTCCTGGACTTCCTGATGTTGGAGTCACAACTCCGCCGGAGTCCGTTGATGAGAAGAGATTCACTGCACAGTCGAGGAGTAGTTGCAAGTCACCAGTTTATTCTCTGACAGATTGCAATCTGGGAGCAACTATCTGACATACATTCAGCATGTACAGGGAGAAGCTCGAACCATAGGTGTCGGCTCTGGGTCTTTATAGGCCTTTTGGGGTGTGGCCCCCCTTTTCTGTACTTTTCCATCTACGTGACTACCACAGATTTTGACATTTGCTCTAATTAGCCAGTGAGTACATGTCTCCCCCCCCCTTTTCCTATGTTGTACAAGAATTAGAAAAAGTATTAGTTCGACCTGTTCTCTGGCGCAGGTCATCTCGCTATCAATTCCTGATTTCTGCCAACTTCATGAAGTGAGATCGCCCCATCCTGCAAGCCCAGTATCAGTTCCCCTGTCCAGTGTCTGCATTATATTCAACACTGTTATTAGACATTAGTAAATTAGTATTGGCATTATTGTATAATTAACCCCTCAATTTCATCATGCCCTGCTTTAAGCTATATTCTCCTTTTCCTCTATTCATTGTACTGTATGTTCTTTATAATTCTATTGAATCCCACACTGACCAGCAGGAAATAGGTTGTGAAGAGGGGTGGCCATATTTTAGACCCGATATTCCTTACCTCTGGTACCCCACAAGGATGTATTATCCCTCTCCTGCTATACTCCTTATATACACTGCATTTCACAAAGCAACTCTGCAAAACTCCACAAGTTTGCAGGCGACACTACCCTGACTGGACTCATCAAAAAACGGCGAGGAGTCCAGCTATAGTGGTGACTACTACGTGGCTGCATTTGTCTGTGAGTTTGCGCCCTCATGCGGCCTCTCGACGTATAGCGAAGGAAACCGGGCTGGTCGTTTTGTGCTGCCGATGGGCGGAGTTACGGGGTCACATGTTCAGTTCGTTTACTCCTTTACAAAATGGCCGACTTCAGAACTTGTTCTATCGAGTATTTTCCCGACAATCTTTTAATAGAAATTTTGTCATATATGAGTGTCCGAGAGCTCGTTCGGGCCGGCAGGTAAACATTTGTCGAACGAGCTGTTTTATGCCGGATGCGCTGTTGCTAGAGTAGCCGACTAAAAATTTGTAAACTTGCATTTCAGTAACTTAGCATTTCTCGTAACTCAGGTCGATCGCGATGCCTTGCTCTACTCTCAAAAGAGAGCTAGATTCCTTACATCATTTAGCTGCATTATATGCACTTACCTTGGCATTTCGTATGCGATTCTTAATATGAAGAGATAAAGGGATTTCGGTTCTTTGCAGGGCAGCGTGAAAGCTTCTATTTAACGTGTAATTAGGGGATGTCCGATCTTATCCACAAACGGCCGGTGTGGGTGCTGGTTTTCATTTGAGTCAAGCAGGAGCCACACCTGATTCCACCTGTTAAATCAGCTGAGCTTGGCTTTCAATACACTCAGGTGTGGCTTCTGCTTGGTTTGAACGAGGAGCTGCACGTACAATGGCCCTTTCCGGATAAAATTGGAAACCAACCTCTGGTGTAATTGGTCTGACAGTGTGCACTGCATCCACAAGCCACATTTAATGGTTTCAATATGATTGCTTAGGAAAGTTTGAGTTTCAGCTTAGGACATGAAATGATGACAATGTTAAAAATAAAAACGTACAAGCAGAGGCACATCCTGTGTGTGTCCTTTGAAATACATGGCAAAGATAAATGCTGGCAGAATCTATTTATAACTACTGCTTTAAGTTAACATACATGTGTCTTGGTATGTGAGGTCTTGTAGCTTACCTTGTACCCTCTTTCCATTCTGTTAATGGGTAAAAAGACGGTGAAAATGGTTGAGAGTGTCCTGAGGTCACACTTTTTGAATGAGCTAGATTGTGTGGTTATTAAATGAAATTTATGTTTCTCTGCCCTTCTGTAGGGTATGCAAGAGATGGAGAAACTTGGTCAGGGAGCAGAGGCTGTGGCAGTCTGTGGACCTCAGCAAAACCAAAGGGGTGAGAATGTACCGTTATTCACACATATGTGCATTTTTATTAGGCTACTTTCCATTTTAATTCAGCACACGTTCCTGCATCACCATTTTTGATTACATGTGGCTTGTGCATGACACATACCTTCCAGAGCTCAGAAATGTTTATTATATAGGAAGTACTTTGAGGAACTTTTTTCCTTTGTTTTTCCACTGGTCAAGTTCACAGGCCACATTACCTCTGTTTAATGTCTAATGGAAAAGAAATGCGGAGCCAAACCCAAAGTTTCTGTTTTGTTAGTCTCTTTTGATCCCACCACCACATTATACACTTTTTAGGAAATCCTAATGAATAAGCTGAAGTCGTATCATCCCAGGTTTACCAAAATTGAGTCAGCCAAGTGGGCTCTGTGAGGGGGTATCATTTAATGCTGTACACATGTCAGGTATACCTTAGGCTATTTTATGAAAGGAGTGGATTAAAAGAGTGAGATTAATGTGTGAAGTTTGTGTTTTTTATAAGTTCATAGCTTTGTAACTCTTACGCCCATTTGAATGACAACAAACTGACTTTGATTAACAGTTGTGAAGAAAACTTTCTTCCCAATGATGCAGAAAAAAAAAATACCCCTTACATGCCTTTTTGAGGCTCGAAAATTGATCCCCCCCCCACACACACACACACACACACACACACACAATCTTGTACGTTTCTGGGGTTCTTATTTCCTGAAGGGGACAAAGCAACAGGTCAATATATAAGTAGTACACATACATACATATTTCATTCTAAATAATTGACTTGTTATTCCAAGCCCTTTACTGTTTTTTAAATAACCAAATGTAGTAGAAAAAAAAAAAAAAACACTGCGGGATGAGCTTCGATCTTGACAAGTAAGACTTAGATTATGAGCTGTAATTGCTCTATAGGCGGTATATAACAAAGGGAACTATTTTCAAAAACAAAATGTCTTCTCTGAACCAATTTTGCAAAACAGATGACATCACGAGTTCTCTGGTTCCTGCTGAGGCAGTACCTGGGGCGTGGTCTGCGCTGCTTACGACTCCGGGGCCTGCTGCTTTCTGCCCGCGGTGGAGCCTTCCTGTCAGAGTCCTGGCTGCAGGGCCTATCTTCGCGCTGCCCACAGCTGCGCATTCTTTCCCTCCTGCATGCTGACCTGCGTGGGCTGCACAGCTGCCTCCTCCTACCCTTGACGCTGCAGGTCCTGGAGCTGCGTGGCTGCGAACTGCCTCCAGGGTTCTTCTCTCAGAGCTCCTCTTCAACTGGCGGCACGAAGAGAGGCAACAGGGTGGGAAGGGTGTCATTGGCCACCACGCTCGCTGGGAGCCAGACAGGAAATGGGCCGGCCAACACCTTCCATAAGGGAATAGCTATTGAAACCTTGGTGCTGGATAATGTGCCTTCCTTCACAGACCTGCATCTGCAGAGCCTGAGTTCTTGGGAGAGGTTGAACCGCCTGGAGATGCGGGACGTTATCCGGATTACTGCAGCCGGACTGCGGAACTGTGCCATCCGTGACGGAGGTAGAGAAGCATCGGGTGGCCTCTCCAAACTCACAGCACTGGAACTGGGGAATTCGGGCAGACCTGGCTCCCAAACCCAGATGGCCTCACTGGGTCTCGGTGAGGGCTGGGCCGGGCTGCAGGAGCTGACCCTTGGGGGTCGAGAAGTGGGGCCAGGACTGCTGTGCGTCAGCCGGCTGCATGATCTGCGGCATCTGCGGCTGCGCAGTTGCAGGCTCAGTCAGGTGCAGGTGCTGCGCAGCTGCAGGGGACTGCACAGCTTGCGTGGCATGGAGTTCTGTGAGGTGGTCTTCCCGGGGCATCAGCAAAATTGTGACGGTGAGGAAGAGGAACACGGGAATGATGAAGGCAGTGACGAAGAGGGTGACCCAGTGCCAACTCTCCGGCGTGCTTTGGCCAGCCTGCTGCCTCAGTGTACCCTTCAGTTTACACGCTGCTCTGTCACCTTATCTGCTGATTAATAACATGTGCATCATACCTTGTAAGGCGGTCCCTGGTGTAATTAGGGGTTAAGGGTCTTGCTCAAGGGCCCCCCAGCGAAAATACTTTGCCTACCTTGGGATTTGAAATGGCAAACTTCTGATTACTGACACAGCATCCTAACCTACTGAGCCACACCACCATTTTTTTTTTTTTAACTGCTTAAGCTGTACAGGGAAGCCTTGTGAACACAGGACCCCAGGCATCTTATCATCATCTCCTCATGTTTGTTCTGGTTTCTATGAGATAATTCCCCAAAAACAAGCACATGCATTGGTGTCTACAACCGCCCATAGCGTACGCGCGTGATCCCTGCTCTGGGCACAGCAAACCCGATGCCACATTAGCGATATGGGAGATTCTCCCAGCGTGCTGATTCTTGACATCCGTGATCAAGTTGGCCACAGAAAATGAAGCTAGCTTTAAGCTATACTGCAATTTACTGCAGTAGTTATTCAGTGAAAATTTGTAGAATTACACAGTTGTGCAAAGACTTCTCTCGCTTAATGGTAACGGGCCAGTCCCTCGGCCAGCGCGTGCTGTGAGAGGGGCGGCACATTGATGTTCTCCCCAGACACTGTGCATACTCCAGCCTGCCAGCCCATAGCTCTTTAGGGGTCTCCCAGGGCAGACCTCTGAGATGGATCCATATGTCATATCGTGTATAATGTCGTGAGGGATACTGTTGTACATTTTAGGACATTATAGAGGTTATTTTCAGTTCAATTTCTAGTTTCTATTTTCAAGTGTTGTCTCCTGTTTAAAGTGGGTTTAAAGTTTTTTTTTTTTATAAATTTATATTCAAAAACAAGCTATTTTGCTGTGATTGGAATTAGAGGTGGGCGATAAATCGATTTTATCGATTAATTCGAATTTACAGTTCAGGACGATGTGTTTTTATGAAAATCGATTTTATTATTTTACACGCGAGCGTCAAAAGCGGAACTAATGCGACTCACCGTTCTTCACGGGTACATTAGCGTGCTGCACCCAAACACTGTCTCAGCAAACATGCCCCTTTGGGGCCCGTGTGGGGCCACTGCGGGCAGCCTGCTGTGGGCCCCATTACCGGTGTGAAATGCGGGGCACGTTGTGGGCCCCACACTAAGCAGAGTGGGCCCATTGGGGCCCATTGTGGGCCCACAGTATGCCCACACTTTGGGCTGGCCTACACATACATGCCCTGCATTTTTTGGCCTGCTAGATGCTCCCCTGTGGGTATACTGTGGGCATACTGTGGGGTGTACTGCGGGCACATTGGGCACACTGTGGGGTGTACTGCGGCCACATTGGGCACACTGTGGGGTGTACTGCGGGCACAGTGGGCACATTGTGGGGTGTACTGTGGGCACATTGGACATACTGTGGGCCTACTGTGGAGACATTGGGAGGGAGGAAAGCTGTAAAGCCACAGTGCTCCAGTGTCCCCGTGGGCATGCTCTGTGGGTCTTTAACAAATAACAAAATTAGTCTGGTCCTATACTGCCAGTATACCACAATATTATTATTAATGTGTATGCAGAATATTTGCACTTATTGATAGTAGCAGTAATAAACTACAAGTAATATGTTTCCAATACATCTGTTCACAGACAGGTTAAAAGAAAAAATGAAGAAAACATATTGAAAATTGAATACAAAACTGAATATGTGGATTGAGTACTAAATATTTTTTTTATTAAACATAACAATGAGCACATAATATTACATACACAATCAATATTAAATAAATCCCCTCAGTGTCCTTCTGCTCCTTCCCCCATCCCGATCTCTAGCATTCCGCAGCCATGTTTTAACTGAAGATTCCGCCTCTGAGGCTGTGACCCAGCTGCTTTTTGTCACAGCATCTAATTGAGAAAAAAAGAACACCTGAAATGCTAATGTAAAAAAACAAGAGGTTGTCCAAGTGCAAAGTATATACTTGTGTTTTCCCTATTATCAGGTAGTTTCCCAGGGCTTTGTTGGTTCCATAGTTCTTGGAACTTTTTGGACAAAAAGGGCTTTACAGTAAGTTAAAATGTCAGTTGTGAAAGGTCTAGTCTAGTTGAGTCACAGGTGGAGCCTTTAAACTACCTTTGGAACAGAACTCACGATCAAGTTAGAAGTTAAATTAAGTAAACTTGCCAGGCTGATCTGTCTTTATGAATTGCCATAATCACAAAATATTCTGTAATTTGGTCTTTACAATTATTTTACAAGATCTGATTTTGTTCCTCTTCTTAGGGTCTAATTGCATATGAACATTACATACTGTACCTATGACTGCTCTGCAGACCAGCATCTCCCCTGCTTTTGTAGTAGTGTTGCGTGTGTTCTCCAAGACAATCATAATCATTTTCATCCTTGTTGTTTAAATCACTTCTAGGCAGTGTTGTGAGAAATTTATGAACTCCTTTTTTGCGTTATTATTATTATTTTTTTTACAACAAATTCACATCGCTAGGACAGCACGCTATATGCATGCTGTCCCGGTATATTGAACAAAATATTTTTTTAATTTCTTGTCATGGCTCCCCTGATCTTTTTGTTGTATCTGCTCATCCGACCAGATCACAATTATTTTTTACTTAGTTTATTGTTTTCTGGGTTCGTAACTTTTTCTGAATATTAACTGTAACAAGCTTATGAAAACTGGCTAAACAGAGTGAAATTAGCACCGCTCTGAGCTCTAACATACATAATTGATATTCACCTTGTCAGAGACTGCAGGATGCTGTGTCTTCAGGTGCCTTTTCAAATTGGTGTTTTTTCCAGCAATCTGGAATCCACACGGCGCTCCATCCTCATCGGGAACGATACAACTGTGCGCTAGTTTCAAGTTCCGAGCTCAGAGGAGACCAAGGCTAAGACGCACGCGCACTTGATTAACTATGGCTGAGGCATCTAGCAGCGAAACTTATTTTCCTCCAAAGAAGCGCCTGAAGTCGGCAGTTTGGGATCATTTTGGATACAAAAAGAATGACCAGGGCGTCATTGAAGATGACGGATCACCATCTTGCAAAACGTGCCGTAAAAAGGTTGCTGCTAGAAGATCCAACACATCTAATTTGATGCAGCACCTGCGGGATCACCATCCAGCTTTGCACGCTCAAGTAAAGGTAATGCATAACTGAATTAAATACACATATGTGAATTAAATACGTTGGTAGGGAATCCTGGACCACAGACACGGTTTAACCTGGCTCACAGCCGAACACGGGCCAAGGTGGAGATGACCATAGGGATCCTCAAGTCTAGGTTTCAGTGTCTGCGTGGGCTCCGGGTCAGTCCAGAGAGAGCATGCGACATCATAGTGGCTTGTGTTGTGCTTCACAACATTGCCACTATAAGAGGAGAGAGCCACCCTCCTGGTATTGAAGAAGATGGCCCAGAGGAACCCCTACAGATTTTTGCACACAGAGATGGAAGACTTTTGAGAGACAGGATTTGTGAAAATTACTTTTATTAAATTGTTTGCACTGGTCTGCTGTGCAATTCATTTCTTTATTTCCTGAAAAACAATGAAAGTAAAATGACATAAAATGTGTTTTTATTTATTTATTACATTGCTTTATATACAACACTTTTAACATGCAACAGATTAATATTCACACAAGTTCTCACCTTAAGGCAATGCTCCAGTAATTGAATTTCTAGTGTTGCTTTTTTTAATGGATCGCCTTTTCTCTTCCATTTGAAGCTGTATAAGGTCCATCTCCATCTCACTTTTTCTTATTTGTTTTTGAAAGGCAAAAATAATTAAATAAATGAGATTCTGTCAGACAATAAAATTAAAATATGGACAACTGCACACAAATTCTTACACTGCTTAGATCGCACATTGAGGTTGAAGGACCTTCATCTGTGGGCAAATCCCCAGGTTTGTACTGTGAAAGGACAATGACAGTTTGTTACTCTAATGTAAAAAGGGGGCATGCATTATAATGGTATGCATCATACCTCAGTGGATCTACCAGCATTGTCCACTTCTGTCACAGCAGATGTGGTCTCTTCATCGTCATCTTCATCCTTCAGTGGAAATATGCAAGTATACATTATCTGGCAAAAAGAAAAAACAGAATATCTAAAAGCAACTAAAGGTACCTGACAACAAAACACTTACAACTGTGACAGACTGTGTTCTTTCTGTAGGGTCCAATAATACAATCCCTCTATCAGTATCTATAAGAAAATACAACCCATAAAATTCTCAATATTAAAGAAAAACCAACAATGCAGGAAAAAAACATGTCAAAGTAATACAACGAAGATCACAGTAGCCTATACATCATATGCAGTTAAAGTAAGCCTGCATAAAAATGTCAAGCATGTTCAAAAAGCCTTTAAGTGACAGAGATAGTAATTTATTAAGTCATATAATGAAAAGAAATCATAGTGGTAAACTTACAATTCACCATGTTACTTGTGGTGCATGGTGTGTGTGATGAAGTGCCCCCTGGAATGCCAGCAACCCCTGGTCGCCCTTTATTAAGGGACAGAGCCAGCTCCTCAGATGGGGTGAGGGGAGGTGGTGGTGGGCCCCCGCCAGTTAGATGGGCTTCAGCCTTCTTTCTATTAGCTACAAAAGAATATACTAAATTGTGTTTAATCAATAGTTCAGTGATTGTGTAATCAAATATTACCTTATTGCAGAATGTTTTTGTGTTTCATTTTGTCTTGGCTCAAAGTTCTTCTGGCTCCAGAAGGATTACACCTTATTAAATAAGAAACCATATATTCCTAGTCAATACACATTGTTATTTTAACTTAAAGAAATAAATGGCAGGAAAAGTAAATGCTTTCATAGTGATTTAAAAGTCAAAAGGATGCGGAAGGGGTGTCTAATTATTTTACATTATAATAAAAGGGGAGGCGATGTCAAATTTGCAATTTAATACACACGCATTTACTCTGTCCGTTATTTTTTGCCAAGCCGACACTCTTTCTTTAGCCGATGCAGCCGTATTGCTTTTTTTCATTATTATTGGCTTGAATTCCTCATATGCGTGCATTAAAAC